GTTCGATCGTCACTGGGTGACCCATACTTTCGGCCTTGTGCCACATCTAAGTTACGTTTGGAAAATCACTTTGGGCCTCTTGAGGCGGTGTAATGGTTAGCAATCTTGTCTCGCTAGAACAATTACGACTGATGTCCTCATCTTTGTTGCCATATTAATCACAACGTTTCGGCTATTGTACGCTTCGGCTTTCTTCAGGTGGTAGGAATGTCGAACTGAACCCTTTATTTCGCTCTCTGGGGTAGAATGTTCTAGTTCCACGTGCCATGTCTAATGGATGTCAGTTATCAGTTATCTCCTGTTAATTCACCTCTCCAAGTTCTCCACTGCCTTAACTAGGTATTGAACTCAAAACTTGGAGAATTGGAGAGGTGAATTAACAGGAGATAACTAAAACAGTCTACCCCAGCGAGCGAAATAAAGGGTTCAGTTCGACATTCCAACCACCTGAAGAAGGCCGAAACGTTGTGATAAATATGGCAACAAAGATGAGGACTATAGGCCGAATAATGTAAATAGTGTATATAATACCTCATATAATACGTCATACCAGTTACGACTGAGTAGTGAATTCGATCCTCAATGGGTGCCCCATTCTTTCTACCTTTTGCCTTTAAGCTTGGAAAATCACTATTAGATCGATTCTTTTTAAAAGCCCAAATACTCCTTTTCGAGTTTTGTTAGAGATTCAGATGTTGATCACTGTGTAAATAAAACGAACAACTGTTTTTAAAAACGCAATTTTAATCTTAATCGTGTCATTTGGTAACGAAAGTAAAGAAAACTCCGCACAAATTTAAGCAGTAAAACTGTCACCAACAACGGTTATCGCAAATTTCAGAAAAAATCAATAAGAATCGATGCAATTATTATTAGTATTTGATATCTCTTTCGACTCTTAGATATTTCGGCTGGGTGATGATGATCATATACCAAAAGCTACTCGAAACTTAAAGACACATGCCTTTCCTCCGTACATGAGCTGTTTTTATCAGTGCTGCCACCTGTGTAATCTCAATGATGTCTGATATCTCTGAGGCGTCTTGCGAGTCAAAAGGATTCCTGGAAATAATCTCAAGCGAGCCAACCACAAAAGCGACAACTTACTGCTTTATATTTTTCTGATTGACCCTGGCCGGTCTTCGTACCTCTGTATTTCCCCCTTGCTCCGCATTCACAATGTTCTCATCCCAATATACCACAACACCTGTCAGGATCCATTCGCGGCTTCTCTCGTACACTAATCAGAGTGAGTGCTCTCTAAGTCATATCCCACACCAGTTTCCCTTCTCGGTGACTGAAAGCTCGCACTATTTTTTCTGCGCACTCGACAATAATTCTTGGACAGTTCCCACTAGATTCTGAGGGCTACTTTGTGATGGCATCGTCTCTACTTTTTGTGTCAGCTGAATGCACCCACTGGCAGTGTGTTGCACACTTTCGATGGCTAATCTACGCAACATGAATACAAGTTAATCAGATGCCCTATCAATAGAGCACTTGATAGAATTTGTTCTTAAAGCCTGTTCTTGCGCTGCACAAGTCATCCTTTCAGTTTTATTCTCCAAGAAGACATGATTCTGGATCTGACAACTTTTCTTCTGCAAATGCTACGTGCAAGGCATTTTCTTCCATTCATCGACTTTTCCAGCAGAGATAGTCTTCCCGTATTCATCTTATTGGGTAACAGAGCAGCAAGCAACAAAATAACGCTAGGGTACAAATACACGAAGCCTAATCTATCTATCATGACACTTTTTATTAGTATTATTACTGGGTGGAGGAATAGCATGCCAAAAAGGGGCGCCGGGTGGAAATATACGAAGTCCGATGTATCAATCATGACTTCGGTTAATATTATTATTGAGAGAGAGAGAGAGAGGGAGAGAGAGAGAGAGAGAGAGAGAGAGTTGTGCCATCAAAAAAAGGAGCCTCTGTTGTACATATATACAAAGCGTAATGTATCCATCATTACGCATCATCATTATTATTATTAGGTGAAAGAGTAGCACTTTTAATTCGGTGGTACAGACCCCGACGCCCCAATGATAACTGGGATAATAGTGGACGGAACGTCCCTTTATTCTGATAATTTCAATCCGGATGTCGGTGTATTTCTTTAGCTTGTCAGTTTCTTCGACATTCATATTTTGGTCACCAGGAACAGCCTCGTGGCGGCATTTCTTGTTGCTATTATTATTAAGAACAGTAAATGGGTTTCATGGGAAATGTTTTTCATCAGAAAAGATTCGGTGAAGAGGAGAAGGCATTTGCTAGTACGCTGCCTTCTCCTGGAAGTTATTCCAATCAATAGACATGACTTTAAAATCGACCGTACATTGTTTAAGTATCAGTCTTCTTTTAAAGTCATGTCATTTATTATGTTGACTTATTTTTTTTTATTGTTTCTCTTTTTTGTAACACAGAGTTTGTGTTATCTTCTTTGTCTTTGGTTAAGGAGTATAATTTCTTAAAATAAAAGACATTATCTTTCTCATAATGATGAAGTAGTCATGGCAATATCTTGTTTCTCTCATGCTCTCTAAAGGGGGACAGTTGTCGGAGACCTGATAAAAAAATGATAGTTTGCAACATATTGGAAATGTAAAAAAAAAAAAAAAAGCAAAAAGCAAGAAAAAAAAACCGAACAAAAACGAAACAAAACGAAAGAAAAGAACAGCTAAGTGGCGTGAAATAAATCATTTTCAACTCAAAACACGATATCGAGGGACGATTAACATAAGAGAAAAATCAAATCAAATAAAAATAAATGAAATAAAATTGTTTTTCATTCAATGCAAATTTTCAACAGATTGAATAAACACATCTATATGGAAGCCGATCTAATAAGAAAGACATTTAACTACTTAACTAATGACAGAATTAGCCAGATCATCCAGCCAATATACAGTTTTATCGAGCCGAGGATGTGCCTTTGGCCCTATGGCAAAGAGAAAGCTAACATCAAAGGAAACCATAGGTGATAATAATAAAAAAAAAACAAACAAAAAAACGTTTCAATTCAACTTTTTATTACTTTTTGTTGCTTTTTTTATTTCTTTCAAATCAGCACAACTTAATTTGAAATGTGTTTGATTTCTTGATTTCATGGATTTAAGCTTACAAATCAAATTAATATAAAAATAAATTTTTTTCCTTCAGAAAGGAACATTTAATACATTTCTCTTTACTTAAACTGCATAAAAATTTAAAGAGCATGATGTATGTAATTTCTGGGTTGATGAGTTATTATTTACATGATTTATATTCAAACAATTTTTCTCATGCTGTTGTGCACTCAGGTGGGTAATGATCCGGGTAATCTACAGGAAATTTCGAATCTACGGGAGTAGACCCTTCTCGTGTTTAGCGATATCTTGTCTTACTTTTATTACTGCTCAGTTATTGTTCGCCCTGTTTCCACTGATTTCAAATATACACTACCTAGCCATTGAACTCCCAATTATTATGCCACCAAATTCACGAACAAACGCTTTAATCCGTAGGACAATTCTCTGTGGAACATTTGGAGTCTTAAATTTAGCCCGTCTGCTGATGGGTGATACTGTGCTGTTTCTCATCTTCACTGCACTTGAAGTGGTGCGACTACATCGAATCGATTACTGCATCTACTGCAAGGAAAGTTGGGTCACTGTATCATGCCCAAATTTTTTTCTCGTCAGAGTCCATCTTGCACATTTACAAATCTACCATTCGTCCGCTGCTCTGGTCTGACACGTCTGCTATTCATCTTGAGATTCTTGACAAAATCCAAAGAAGGATCAGTAATGAAATCGATCTTGACCAGGCATCTCGACATCAGTCATTTTCTCACCGACGTGACGTGGTTTCCCTCTGTCTTTTCTACAAATATTTTCATGGTAACTGCTCTGACGAGCATTTTTTCCCCTCTGGTGCCCCGACTACATGAATTTAAGCGTGCTACTCGATTGGCATCTAAGTCCCACTTTTTTTTTTACTGTTGAAATACCTAAATGCAACCGCCACTTCTACTCCAAGAGTTTATTTCCTCGCACTTCCCTCATGTAGAACTCTCTTCCATTAAATAATTACTTGCTTCCCTGATAAATACAATCTTCAAAAATTTAAATGCAACGTCAATCGCTATCTTCTATCTTCTTGAATCTCATTCATCTTCTCTCCTTTTCTCAACCCTCCCTATCTTCAGTCTTTTATCTCACTTTCACTCTCTGTAAATCCCTACTTACTAGTAGCATTTCCGCTTTACTTGTGAAATGATTAAAAAAAAATCTTGTGGAAGCCTTGTTACAGCTGCTGCTACTTTTGAAAACAGGCGGCTTTTCTTTATTAACGGTTCTCATATTTATTTCAATGCTAAATCTTCTAAGGAGGTTCTCATAACCTAACATATGCGCTGATACATTTTGACGTCTAACTTTCCAGTGTTCTTCCTTGTCCAGTATTTTCATTCCACAGATGACTGATGACTACCATTTCTCTCCATACATGATCGGCTACGCCCGATTTCATTGTCTTATCCCTCACTACGGCTTTTTTAGTGTTCCTCTAGCCTTACTTTTACTCCAGCTTAGTAAATGTCTATGTATAATACAAGGAAAAAAGTGTGGACTACTGTTGACCTCATTGTAAGTTAAGCTTGTTGATATTTACCTAACCTATACACCAAGGTCGGTTTACAGTAAGATATACGTGCAAATAGATCAAAGACAAAACTAACCGGACAAAAACATACAAGAAAGTAAAAACGGTGCTGTGTTGGTAAATAGCCATTTTTCTTTTTCACGGTGATGCGATGGACGCGTACATGAAAAAAAAAAATGCAAACCCTTCAAACACAATCACGCAGCGTTAGAATCCCCGAAACCAGACTGTTCTCATAGCTTAGACAGGAGAAGAAAATATACTAGACCTTGATTGATTTTCTTTTTATGGATTACCAAACTTTTGTTGATTATTTAAAGCCGAAACATATTTCGGATTGTAAGAGGTCGCTTAAAGTACCCGGTAATCCCAAGCGGTCTCCGATCTAAATACTAATATCGCCCAACATAGTTTAACTTCGGTGATCGAAAGAGAATCAGTTTTGTCAGGACACCCTCTCCCGTCAAATTGGTTGAGTAAAAAATGAATTTTTTGGAAAACAAGATTGTTAACCATGACTTAACCTGTTTATACTTATTAAGGTTCAACAGCAGTGTAGGCAGAACTTAATCTTCTTTTCTAAAGGTTTTGGTAATACGGTAATCATAACAAGGAAAAATTTGGCATTCATTGACCGAGCAGCCAGTACTGTTTTCGGTTGTAATTTTTTAAATCGTTCTCTTAAAATACTTTTTTCATGAAAACAAGTTTCTCAAGACCAGTAGCTTTTATCACTCCTTTCCAGTATTGATGGGAGTTTCCTTTCGAACTTTCTAATTAAAGTGCTATCATTATTTTCTCATCAAGTTACATGTAATATTTAATTGTTGCTGCTGTTTGAACGTTACCAAAATGAAAGAGCTTTTTAAATTTTATATAATTTTTTTTTCCTGTATTTAAATCACGTAACACGTTTTGATTTTCTCCACTTGTGGGAGATGATTTTTCCTACTAACGTAGTTTGTAGCAATATCAACTTTCCTTATTTATGTCTCTGCTATCGACTATAAACTGCATTAAGTACACCAAACGCTCAGTGTAAATAGTTTGTCCAATGGCGTGGGTTATAACTGCCTCTTTAAATATAGCAAATATTGAAGAAAACGATATTTTTGTCGAAATTCGTCAATTATAAAATAAATAATCACGTAACATTGAATAGGTAAACAATCTCGTTAATAGTTTTTTCAGATAAACATGAAAATATTTTATAGCGGCATATAAGATGGATATATTTTACAAAGACATTTTTAAAATCTCATCGTAACTTAACCCAACTACGAGGGTGGACTAAAATGTTTATAGGCCGGTCATGAAGGAATGATGCTAGAGCTGTTAAATCTTGCATGCATTAATTTTAAATCTCCTTATTAATAACTGCATTGTTTTGGTTTTTTTACAAGCAAACTGACATCTGATCGTTCAAAGAAGACTGTTCATTTTGTTGGTCAAAAAGGTCATAGACAGCAGATATGAGGTCATCATCATTGCGATAAAGATTCCCAGCTAAGTGTTCTTTTTCGTATCGAGGAACAGATGATAGTCAAATCAAGAGAACAAGGAGCCACGCACCAATTGAAACCAAGGAATTGTGTATAGGAGCATTGTTCTGATGTGCTGAAATCTTCAATGATCAGATCATATTTATAAACTTCTATGTGCCATGTCCCTTCAGGATGTTGGCAACCATGGCTCCCCACAATTTTCTATCCTTTTTAGCTTTTAATAAATTTTGTCTTTTTGTTAACTCTCCTAAACTCTGTTCTGCCATCCATTTACTAAAGTTCGTGAGGTAGGTTATGCATCGTTTCCTTCTTGCCTTCAACATGCCCTATGAGTATCAGGTTTTCCAAGTCCTCTTTTCTCATTATGTGCCCTAAAAATTTCAACAGTCTTTTTCTGATGTTAAGTAAAACTGTCCTTTTTGTTAATATTTTCTCTAAAACTTCCTCATTACTCATATGTTCCATCCATGATATTTCCTTCTGTAGAACCACATTACTGTTGCTTCAAGTCTTTTCTTCCTCTGCGAGGAAATTGACATATAGAAGAACTGATTTTTCTGTTTCTTAATACTTTGCTTAGCTTTTGAAAGGCATCATTCGCTATCCCAATGCACCTTCGAGTTTCAGTGTCGCACTGTTGGCTCTCTGTTAAAACCCATTCTAGATATTTAAATTGTTGCATTTGTTTGATTTTGGTATCTACAATATGTAATTTGCATGTTGGTCTGTTGCTTTTGTTAACAACCATCCATTTTGTCTTGTTACAATTGATGTTTAGTCCTTTCATCTCGCTTTCTTTTACTACCTTGTGTGAAGTTTGCTTTCGTTGTTATCAACACTGCGTCATCGGCATATTGTTATGATTGTGGTCGCCAATAATGTATCCAGGTAGGACTTTCACTCAGAATCGCTTCACCGTATAAGTTTGAATAAGTCCGGTGAGAAGACACATTCTTGTCTTACACTCCTTTCTGTTTTTAGTATATTTAGTGAATACATTTTTTATTCGTACGCAGGCGATTTGATGCCAGTATAAGTTCTGGATTATTCTAATATCCTCAAATATATCATCGTTACGAGTTTTTAAAATAAGATAAATATAAAGGCCCCTTACAGTTCGATAAATACGGTATTTCAATTAATTTAAAAACGATTGATGCACATTTTCACAGTGTTATTTCTGCATAATGTTAGGGAAATCTGAAAAGTGTTTTTGGAGCTTCTTCACCTCTTTACTTCTTGCATGTGTACACTCTTTAAATATTGCTTGAAGAAAAGGGACGTTTAAAATATAATGTCGTAGGAGATTTTTATTTGTCGCAGTTTCCTTGCCTTTATTATTTGTTAACTGTCACGCTTTCTTCGGAAGTGATTTCTCGATGCCTTCTCCACGGTCTTGGAATTCACAGTTTTCCTTTTCTTAGACTGGTTGCCGCGCAAAGCTAGAGAATATAGTTACTATGCTATTTAACCCATAGCTGGTGGATGAGTTAGAGATGCATTTATCCTTTTCTCAATGTTCAAAAGTAGAAATAACAGGTAAGTCCAGGATTTGAACTCGGCTCATCGAATCCATTTTCTGTGGCTATAACCGTCAGCTCCTCGTATATTCCCATAAAAATAGAAGCTTAGATTTAACGGAAATTAGACAATCTGATACTTTAGTTTATGTTAATGTTGCTGTTTGTGCAAACATGTATAGGGAATAATTGTGAAGTTGAAAAAAACTTCCCACAAAACAACAATAAATAAATAAAACACGTTATTTTGGGGCAAAAAGAAGAAAAAAAAATTCATTAAAAATTTCAGTACGTGTAAATTGTAAATTGTGGACTTTCAGGAAAACAATTAGTAGCTCAGTCAACATTTTTATTTACTAAATGTTCGCCTAATACCAAGCTCAAGACAAAAACCTTAGATAGAGAAATACTAGATGAGGTTGTTGCATGGACGTAGGGTAATGTAAGTGTAGATTACAAGGCTATGTACGATATGTAACTGCTGACACTAGAAGAAATTAAGTTTGTAGTGTTCGGAGAAGCGACTATTGGGAAGAAGCTGTTCGAATGGAACTTGCTTTCTACGGGTGGAATACAAAGAGAACAAGAATGGTTCGATCCTGTATACATAGCGTGGCAGGTCTTAGTTGCAAAGGTCGGAACTTGTATAATTAAAAATCTCGAAGCTGCTTTTCTTTTTACAGAATTGGGTATATTTCTACTGCTTGATTTTGCTGTGGTCATTTTTAGTTATATTGGAATTTTGGAAAGGAGAAGAGTCGCGAAACATCAATGCTCCAAGTAGTGTGTATAAGAACGAAATAGATCTATTGTCAGATAGCTGAGCCATAACTCTATACGACGTCATGGCATCAAGAGGCCCCACTGGAAACTACTGCAGAGTTCAAATCCCATTAACAAAATGGCGATACAGCAACCTCAGTATGATACGCCTGCTGTCGAGTTAATCCTCTAGGGAGTTAGTCTAAGGTTCGAAACTGATGCCTATGTTGTGCCAATGTCAAATATAAGAGAACTGCATAATGTATTTTTCTCAATGTCCTAAACTTTAAAAAGCCCCCGCGTTATATAGATTAAGTAAGAGTTGACATAACGGTTAACCATAGACTTAAAGAGGATAAGATTATAACGATCAGGGAAGTGTCTTCTCGGGAATCTGTTTCACAAATTAGTGGTTCTTAGGAAGCAGATTTAGTGAGATAATGGAACAGGTGAAGTAGTGTTTGCATTATCTACCTGGGTTAATTGCCCAGTACAGATGTAACTGTACACTTCTTAATGGCATCGAGCGACTCCACCGGAAACTACTGCACAGTCCAGATCCCATTCCAAAATGGCCATACAGCAGCCCCGATATTAAACATCCGTTGATGGGTTAGTCGCCTTAGGAGTTACTGTGCTAAAGTTCGGATCCCTGACCATCTGACAATTAGGCGGATGACGCCAACCTAGGAAACGCTTAACCCCAGACAAATAAATCCAAGAAAGAAGGGAATACAATTATGTTACTCGGAGTGAACACGTGTCTTCGACCCAGAATAATAGGAACAGTAGAACCTCTTGGTCATAAACATAATGACTAAGCTGGGTGTCAGGTACAGAAACAAGCTTTTTCGTACGCGAGGACTAAATAACCCACTGTCATCCATCTAGGTACGGACCAAGCTCCGTGTTGAGTCTCAGGCCCTGTGGGAAGATGAATAGAGTAATAACGTCACCATCACTAGTGATCACTCCAAACATTTTCGTAATCACCATTAGACTCATCCAGCTCATTCCGAGTTCTCTGTACTGTCTTCAGATTGACACGCAAACACACTGAAGTATTCGTATTGAGCTTCCGGCGCGAATGCCAAGCAGTACACAAACACACACATACACACACATATATATATATATATATATATATATATATATATATATATATATATATAGAGAGAGAGAGAGAGAGAGAGGGAGAGAGAGAGAGATAGAGAAATATATAAATATATATATATATGTATATATATATATATATATATATATATATGGCACGTGGAATTAGAACAGTCTACCCCAGTGAGCGAAATAAAGAGTTCAGTTCGACATTCCAACCACCTGAAGAAGGCCGGAGTGTACAACGGCCGAAACGTTGTGATAAATATGGCGACAAAGATGAGGACAATAGTCCGAATAATGTAAATAATATATATATATATATATATAATTAATGGATTTAAATTTTTAATCTTGTCATATGCATTAACTTCTGAATTATCCAACTTCGTCCGGAATTATCCACTTTTTGCTGTACTATATATATATATATATATATATATATATATATATATATATATATCCTTTTTTACTTGAATTCTTATATACTTTTAGTCCCGTCATGAGCCACTCTGTTTATTAAAGCCTTAATCAAGTTAATTCTTTAG